GTCCCCCCCCCCCCCTCAACGATGACAATCCATGTTATTGACGTCGTCGGGCTCGCCTCCCCCCACCAGTGTCTGGAAGTACTTCACGGGACACATGGGTCGGACAGTGCGAGTGCAGGTCGGCTCGGCAGTAGTTCCACGAGTTAGTTAGGAACGAAAACTAAGCGGGTCTACAGCAAGGAGGAAGGGCGAGGACCAGATGTTTTCGCACCATGGTCTCTGATGGCTGTAACAACTTTCGAAATCAATGAACCTTTGAAGCGGCAGGTGATGCTAGAGAATAATTGTTTATTCGATCCATCATTGGTTTTTTCGTAGCACGTCCCTTCCGCCACAAGGACTTGGAGATTCCCGAACAGTTTTTACGGTCATCGGTGACCGTGGCCTGAGAGAATATCTGGTCCTTGGCCTTCGTCGATGGGCGCTGTAGAGACCCGCTGAAGTTCTGTGCCTTACGAGCTCGTGGACTTGTTGCCAAGACGATCTGCGCTCGCACACCTGTGCCCGACCCGCCTGTCCCGTAAAATACTTCCAGACAATGGCGGGGGAGCGCTCGCACGTTGTGCCTAATCGTTTGTGAGGTCAAGAGCACTCCCGCACTAAATAGAGCCACAGCTACATAGATAGTCTTAGAAGTTTTCTTAGGAACAAGGTTTCAACCTCAACGAAGCAATATTGGAACTCTTCGGAAACTGTCCTCCGTGGAATAGGCTAACCTAAGCAAGGTACGCGTAAAGTGAAAATTGCTCGGGGGGTGAAAGGAGAATTCCGTCATGCATGGATCCTACTACCAAATGAGGCACAGAAAACATAAGCGCGGGGGGGGGGGGAGTTGGTTGTTGTGCACAAACGCACTATAAAACGTGGTAGAAAATTCGGTGCATTCAAGGGTAAGCACGACTTCTTTGACTCTCAGACCATCACGCTCGCAGCTGGCGAATATGTAACCCACACTCCTGTTGAAGAAGAACCGAACCTACCTGGTGTTAAAATCTCTCCCTCAAACTCCCTCAAGTTTGGCGCAAGTGTTGAAATCCGTGAGATCCCATATTGAGGAAGCGTTCCAAGATTCAAAATCGATGGCCATGGCGAAGGGTTCAGGAAGCTTTGAGCTGTGACTTCCGGCGCTCGATGACCGCCGCCCACGACCTTGTCAGGTGGAGCGAACAAACATCTGCCCCGTACTTGCCGGGAAAGAAGACGTAACTCCCATGTCCGGCGTCCTTTTTTTAAGTTTATTTTAGACTATGTATCATGGCATTGGATTTTTTCTTCGAGGCTGCTTTTTATTTTGAAGTGGCTACGCTTGTTCCTCAAAGTTTGCTGTGCAATCCGTGCCCCTCGGTCATTTTCGGGTGTTCTGACACTATCCCACAGCAGAAGGGGGAAGTGTCGCCTTCGCTCCTCTGCTGTGATTTTCGAACCCCGTCTACTTCGCATCTCGTCGATCAAACCCTCTGTTCCCTGTGCAGGGTGGGTTCAGATCGTATCATATGGAACGGCCAAGTGAGCCGCCATCCGGCGGATGGTTGCTGGGTATAGGTATCCGCTCGTCGGACACAATGATGTCACGATGTCTTTGGGTTCGCCCCCGTGCTGTCGCCGTCGTGTCCCTGTGTCGCCTGCGCCTTGGACTTTCTATATCTGACAGTTCATTTTGCGGCGGCGCCGTTATGTGATCGTCCCGCCGGACCTCATGACATGACACAGGGGCAAACGAAGTAGGTGTAACGCAGGATTGTCCTAGACATGCATGTAGTGCATTCAAGAAAATCTGTCTACTTCGCTAGTGTCAACATTAATGCCTGTAGATGCGCTCTGGGTCTGTAGTCTACACGTCGAGCATTTTATATCACGCATAGTCTAGCTTGGACAGAAGAAACCCACTGCATCATCTCTCGCACAACTCCTACGGTTTGGTATCTGGGTTGCGTCATTCTTTCCGTATCGACGATGCCATACCTACCAAGATCGAGGTCGTCTAGTCTACTCCGACGGCTCGTTCGACAAGGTTGAGTGGGTCATCACCACTTGCCGAGACTCACGTCCTCGTTGTGTCGTATTTTTTGGATGCCCAAGTACCTCAACATCCGTAGAAAGCATTGCTTGGAGATTCACCTCCGTGCGTCAGGTTGGGCTCAAAACCAATTTGGAGGTTGGGCTTTGAAATCAGCCTGTTCCAGACGATCTGCGACTGTCGTAGTGTCCACATTGCTGTAGGCGCGGACGTTGTTCTCGAGTGTAGGCATTGGTAGCCAATCACAACTTGTTTCAATCAAGCCTATCGTGTCCATGAATTTTCCGGTATGGTCGGTGCTGATCGTCACGTCGCCCAACTCATGCTTCTCACATTTGCTGTCTCCCCGTTACAATGATTTATTGGTGGCGGGGTTTCATGCTCCATGCGAGAAACTCGACGCCGTACCCAAGGGCAACTGGATCTGCTCCAGCTGTGACCTGTCACCCGGGCCGACTACAAGGCGCAACACCGTCCTCGTTGCACCATGTGATCGCCTCGGGCGGAAGGTCACAGCCAGAGCAGATCCAGCTGCCCTTTGGAATGACGTCGAGGTTCTGGCATGCACGATGACACTCTGTCCAAAAACCAGAAGACAAGGACAGCCTGAAAAATGCGTTGGGCGACGAAACGATTAGCACCGAGTAAGTTACCTTTTCCGCATTGATTGAAACTATGCCACCAATTCCAAGCTCGCGATCGGCACTTGCACCAACGTCAATTGGAACACCACGACAGTAGCAGATCGTCGGTGCTGGAGGGTTTCGAAACCCATCCTTCGTCTTGGCTGCAAGCCGAACCTGACTAACGGAAGTAAATCGCCAAGCAATGCTTTTCGAGGTGAATCGCCAAGCAGTACTTTTCGTCGGCACTTATGGAGGCTCACTTGCCTCTTTCGGTCGTACTTGTGGAATGCACAACAAGTACCTCGACATGCATGCTAACTGCTGGTACGAACAACATTGCTTGGAGATTCACCTCCGTGCGTCAAGCTGGGCTTACAACCAAGGCCGAGGTTTGGTTTCGAAACCAGCCGATCTGCGACTGTCGTAAGTGTCCCAATTGCCGTAGGCGCGAGTGAGTGCCGATCTCAAGCGTAGGCATTTGGAGAAATCATTGTTTGAATCAAACCTAACGTGCATAATGGATCTTGCGGTATCCCCGGTGCTGATCGTTATGCCGCCCAACTCAAATACTGTATTTCCTGTCTCTCCATTACAACGTTTAAATGACAGGGTTCCATCCTCATGTGAGAAGCTCGATATCGTACCTAAAGGCAGCCCGATTTGCTCCAGCTGTGACCTGTCGCCCGGGACGACCACACGGCACACGACCTTCGTCGATCGTACCACGATAAATAATCAGTCTTCCGAAAGGCGTCACCGCCACCGCCCCCGCCACCGTCGTGGATGCTGTCATCATATCTTCGGAGGGGTTCGTTGTACGTGCTAGAGAGGGGATCATGCAAGCCGTCACCGCCAACCCGGCCGATACCGACCCGACCGATATCTCGAAGAAGAATTACTTCGGACCCGCCGGGACTCCCACAAAGACGCCGCCCGTGAAGCCCCACCGTCTGAAAAAATGTAGCCGCCCCCGTCGTGCCCCAAGAAATTCGTCGTCGAGATGTTGGTTGGGTGAAGATCGGCCGGGTTGCCGGTGGCGACTTCCATGATACCCGCTCCGCCAGCTTTAAAGATCCCGTCCGACGACGTGATGGCAGCGTCCACGGCGGTAGTGGTGGCGTAGCGGCGGCGTCTTTCGTATAGCCGATGGTCATTGCGGTTGGCTTGGCGACGGCCTTGGGTCGCGTCATCGCCCTGGGCGACAGGTAACAGCTGGAGCGAACCCAGCTGTCCTTGGGTATGATGTCGAGTTTCTCGTATACAGGAGGAAACCCTGGGCGACACGAGAAAAACGACGAGCATTGGGTGACGTGACGATCAGCACCAAGTAAGTATTCTTACGGCATTGATTGAAACTATGAGTGGTCACTTATTCGGCACTCCCGATCGGCACGTGCACCTGCGTCAAATGGAATACCGATGACAGTATCGTGTCGTCTGTGACTGGCTGGTTTCGAAAACCACCCTCCGTCTTGATTGTATTCCCAACCTGATTCACGGAGGAAAACCGCCATGCAATTATTTTCGTAGGCACTTGCAGAGACTCACTTGCCTCTCTGTGTAGTATTTGTGGGATGGACAAGTACGACACCACGCTCACAACCAAGACAGAGGTTTCGAAACCAGCCGGTCACGGGTGATCTGTTCCTGTCGTAAATGTCCTAATTGCCGTAAGGAGCGAGTGCCGATTGCGAGTGTGGGAACTGGCGGTCAAACATAGTTTCGATCAATGCGAAATAGGCTACGTACTTCGTGCTGATTGTCACGTCGCCCAACTCCTGTTTCCTGTTTCCCCGTTTACAAGGCTTTAACGACAAGGTTTCATGCTGCCCAAGAAGTTCGACGTCGTACCCAAAGGCGGCAGCTAGATTTTCCCAGCTGTGACTCGTCGACCGGGGCGACCACACGACGCAAAACCGTCGCCGAGCGTCCCGGGATGACCATCGGCCACAGAAAGACCCCGCCGCTGCCTCCGCCTTCGCTGCGGATGCTGCGATCATATCTTCGGAGGGGTGCGTTGACGCTGCCAGAGCGGGTATCATGCAGACCGTCACCGCTACAGTGTTCGTCAGGCCGATTTTGGTTGACCGGCCATAACTTCACGAGTTTTTCACTTTTTTCAATTTTTTTTTTAGTCGTTATCTACATCCTATTTGCCGCAAGAGTTGTTCAGGGACCAAATCAATTTGAGGCGTTTCTGGAATTTCATGATTTTCGTAAAGGATTTTCAAGGCATTTCTGGGGGGGGGGAGGGGGGATGATAACTCTTTGTCTAATATTTCGGCAGCCACGAACTCGAAACATCCCGCATCTCCTTTTTTTGCTTTGTATCGGCGGGGCTTGAGTTGGGAATAACGAAGATACTCATGGGAAAAAAAAAAACATGCTGATATGTGCATATATGGCGCCTTCCTGGGGCGGGACAGGAAATGTGGCCTATGCGCACCGGCTTGTTTCCCATGTATGTTTGATTACTTCGATCGACTGGAGACCCTTCTGTACAATGACCCCACGATACCCACGCACGTTGCATTCTTCATTTTTGCCACTACTGAACGTTATACGCACGGCCATACATACTGCTGTAGCACACCGAGAATCCGCCAACGAAAAGGGGGAACAAAACAATATACCACGCACTGCAACAACGCCACTGACAACAACACGCAGATAGATAATAACCTAATGATACACCCATGTCGACATATTACGTACGTGCGCTTCAACACCACACAACACAGAATGAACGTGTACATCACTTAGGGTTAATGTAGTCTGACGGAGCGGGCTTGTGCTGAGACTTAAAGGTGTCCCTCTGCTGTACTGCTTCCGCGCCCTGGAGTCCGTCGCGGTACACCTCGTTGAAGTTGGCCACCGTCCTGCAGAACTTTTGCACAATTGCTAGACTCAAGCGGTCTCCGGTCACCGGGTAGCTCTTACAAACATTGGTCCGCAAGCACGCGATAGTGTACTTGCAGTGCTGCCGGACCCAATACTTGGATCTACCCCATACTAGCTCCATCGGGTTGATCTCGCAGTGGAACTTGGGGAGCATGATTGCCACTCCTTCNTCACCGGGTAGCTCTTACAAACATTGGTCCGCAAGCACGCGATAGTGTACTTGCAGTGCTGCCGGACCCAATACTTGGATCTACCCCATACTAGCTCCATCGGGTTGATCTCGCAGTGGAACTTGGGGAGCATGATTGCCACTCCTTCATGGCGCTTCACTAACACCACAAGGCTAGGCTCAATGCTCGCGAAGTCCTCCTGCGTACCCAACACCACCGGCATACACAAAACGCTGGGTCATACTTCTGTTGGCCTTTCTTGATTCCTTTCATGCTCATGTCCGCGTTCCAGAGCCCCCTCTCAAATAAAACTTGCTTTAGCCCCTTGAGCTTGCCAATGTAATCCTCGGCACCCGGGTCGTAGAAAGGACTCTCGCCCTCCTGAAAGGTGAGGTACTGCACCGTCCCTTTCTTGAGTTTGGGCGTGTCTGCCAATAGGGTCGTAACGTCCTGGGCAGCTAGCTGTTTACCCTTCTTCAGCCCCCCCGTAACCGGCGTTCATGCGAGTTGCGCTCGGTGCCCCGTCTTCGGCACAGTCGTGGCGAGATGCCCAGTCCAAAAAGCAGATGGGCTTGTGCATCGGATAATTCACCGCCAAGAGGTTCAATACATCTGCCATGTGTTCAACCATCTTCGCGCCCGTCCAGTAGCCGTCCCTGCTCTTCCCTTACTCGAATCTGTAGTAGGTCCAGAACTTGCCGTCTTCGTCCTTGTAGAGCTTGTCGATGTTACGATACGTCTCTGGCTTGGTCGGGTCACCTGCCGCGTGTTCGGTTGCAGAAGTATCGCACCACTTACGCCGCAAGGCTTGCGCCTCGTCGATATCAGCCTGGCCACCCGCAACGAACCCCACGTTGTCGACGATGGTGCCAGAGATCATAATGCCTTGACCGTCTCCCTTCTTCTTGAGCGCGTGATAGTTGGGTGGCACCCACGCGGAACGCTGGCCGTCGTTGGCCCTGTAGATGCACTCGTCCTGGTAGCAGAAGATCGCTCTCCTGCCGTTAGAGTAAGTTTTCTTACTGGTGACCCTCTCGCAGAGATGCTGAGGAAGTTCGGAGAGGGTCTCCTTGAAGGCATGCACGCAAACCCAAACACGCCCAACCTCTTGCCTGTCCTGCTCTTGCACTTGCACCTCCCAGGACCGCGCCTCGTCCGAAGTCGCCTCGATCCAGATCTCCATGTAGTCGCGGTGCTCAAAGTACGCCGGGAGGTACTTCTCGACCCGGTACGCGAGCACGTCTTCGCGGTCATGGCCGTTAAAGTACAGGCCCGACTTGCGATCGCGGTACTCGCACCCCAGCTTGTGCAGCCAGGAGCGCGCCGTGCAAACGGTCACCGAGTACGACACCCCTATCTCTCCTGATGCCGTTTCAGTCGTCGTCTTGGTGACAGGAGCGTGCTTGAAGGGGTTGTAGTCGCACGTTTTGGTGTCTGCTGCCTGTGGCAAGACGTTCTTATTGAGGTACTCGTGGAAGCCCTCGGCTGTCATGTTGGGCTCCCCATTTTTGATAAAGTTCACGCGGATCCATCACGAGAAGACCCTCGACCAAGCTCAGGATCCACCGCCGTTCGTGTTTCCCCCTCTGGTCCACCTTCAAGTACAACAAGGGTGCACGCGACAAAGAACACCGCATTGTCGAGAAAAAGGGAAAGGGTGGCTCAAAAGCATGCACGGGTGCGGGATGGAAAGGGAGCAATAGCGCATGCGTTGCACGGAGGGAGCATGTTCACAGCAACGGCCGGCGAGCTTGTTGAGCTACAGCAGTACTATTTCATGTTCATCGCCACATACAGAGTCTACGGCACGCACATCTCTCATTGCGGTTGAAACGGATGTCTGGTACATAGCTCCTCTCACCTGGATATGGCCCTTGGTGCGGTAGGAAAGCTCCCACTCACGGAGGGTGCTGGATGCCACTCCAAAAACTCCGCTGTTTCCTCGAAAGCTTGCCTCTTGGACACCCCCCTGAGCAGCTTGTGGTACAGTCCTTTCAGGGCCAAGGCCTTGAACTGCAGGCTGCCGGCTTGCGCATGCGAGACGAGAACAGACTCCTGCATGTACGTAAGGTAGGGAAGGGGGAAAAATCAATGGTGAGATCATCGGGACAAGCAGCGGGAATGAAAGACAAGGGTGGGGGCGGAGTGTTTCTTGCGGCCCAACAGTCGCGCGCAACTTCACCCAGACATGTACATGGGNCCAAAAACTCCGCTGTTTCCTCGAAAGCTTGCCTCTTGGACACCCCCCTGAGCAGCTTGTGGTACAGTCCTTTCAGGGCCAAGGCCTTGAACTGCAGGCTGCCGGCTTGCGCATGCGAGACGAGAACAGACTCCTGCATGTACGTAAGGTAGGGAAGGGGGAAAAATCAATGGTGAGATCATCGGGACAAGCAGCGGGAATGAAAGACAAGGGTGGGGGCGGAGTGTTTCTTGCGGCCCAACAGTCGCGCGCAACTTCACCCAGACATGTACATGGGGCGGCATCACATCATACATACGGCAGCAGCAGGAGCAGCATAGCGACAACCGCACAGTACTACAACCAACAGCAGTGCTAGCAGCACGAAAACTGCGATCAACGCATACATACATTTACACTGCATCGTCCAACATCTCTTACATTGAGTCCAGCAGATGTGACTGCTACAGCGGATTGGCATTCCTTGACGACGGCGCGGAAATAATCCTGCCCCCCCTCCCAGCGCGATCTACATGCAGCAGATGCTGCGGCCGCCTTTTCCAGCTGCGATCGATGCTTCGCCAGCTTGCGAAGAGCCTCCTTCCTGCCCACACCCCTGTTGCTCTGGCGCTTGAGGAACGCTGGTCGATAGACCTCTTCTTGCTGGTGCGCCTCCTTCATTGCATCCGACATCGCTCCAGGAGATCGCGCGAGACCATCTGCGCACACTGGAGCTGCCCTCGCTCGAGATGATTATTGAGCTGTTGCGCAGCTTGGCGATGCCTCTTCCTGCCATAGCTTCCCTTTGGTCTGCCTGCTCCAGGGCGTGCTCCGCCGCGCTCTCCAAGCGGTGCATCTCCGGTGGATTCCGCAGCATGTTGACAGTCCCGCGGCCGCTTGTCTCGGGGAGGCGCAGCTTTGGCTTCGCCTGCACTTGCATCGTTGTGGGGCACGTTACCCCTACAGAAGGATGGCCGCCAGGTAGCAGCCCACCGGTCCTCGACCGCCCAGTCGCGACCCGTGGTTCTGCCTTTCGCAAACTTGATGTGTGGGCTGCACCAGCGCTGTCTGGATCCATGCACTTGGGCAGTCAGTTGCATACGATACTTCTTCGGAGCCTTGTGCTGATGCACACTCACCAGCTTACCACCACGATGAGCTAAGGTTGCCAGTTTGGTCGCCAGGGACTTGTCGCGCAACTTAAGAGCCATGGACGAGGACCACGACCTCTTTATGTGTGGCAGCCGTTGGGGCTGATGTGGGCGACAAAAATTGAAATGTTGGTTCTGAGTTTTTTTTAAGTTCTTCGTCAACGAACTCGGGGATTATTCCGCCGCAGTAAAATAGTTCTGAAAGAGAGCTTTTCGAATCTGCAATTTTTTCGCGGTTTGCCGGAGTTGTTGAGATATGGCAATTCTTGTGGGATCAAGTGCCTTCTGCTATGATGGTAATGGGGGCATATCTTTCTTGAAAGCCCAAACCCCGCGCTGTGAATGGGCTTATTCGATCGCTGCTGAACAGAGCTTTCTCACGAATATTTTGATTCCGCTCAATTTGTTGAAGGTTATTTTTTTTTTCAAAGCACCCGTATTCGGCCTGATGAATGGCGGCTCTGTAACCCGGCCGACACTGACCTGACCGATATCTCGAAGAAGAGTTTCGTCGAGGCCGCCAGGACGGCCTCATTTCCACCGGTGGGGTCTCTATGGCCGTCCCGGCGGTCCCGAAGAAATTCTTCTTCAAGGCATTGGTCGGATGAATGCGGTTGGGCTACACGCCGGTCGCCCCGGTGGTCAAGTGGGTAGCCCCGTAGCGTGTCAAGGGTCAGGTCATGGGTTCGAGTTCCGGCAGAGAGAGTTTTTTTTCACTAAAAAAGTCCTGGTCTAGGATGAAAGCGACGCGCTGCAAAGCTCGTTTGTTAGTAAACCATAATCGACTTCGTAAGTCGCGAGGGAAGGGATTGCTGTACCCTTCTCGCGATAAAAATACTTCAGGCATGAACCGCAGGAGGGGGTCCAACCCCCCCCTCCTATGTTGTTGTTGTTGTTGTTGTTGTTGTTGTTGTTGTTGTTGTTGTTTCTCACATTAGCTCTAAAAAAAAAAAAAAAATTGGGAGCCCGTGGTCTCAAAACCCGGCATACACGACCCCACGAAGAAACAGAAAAAAATAGGGTTCAAAAAACCACTCGGACGGAAGAGAAACAAAATGATAGAAAGAAAGACCAGCTACCGCACCAAACGAGAAAGAGCGTCGAGGAGACCGATCAAAATAAAATAAAAGGAGAACGGGGAACGCTTCCCACACCCTCCTACAACGCCGGAGGGTTCCGTGCCGGGTTCCCGCCGACCAGGCATCCCCCGCCCTGCACCACACCCCAGGGGGTGCAGCAAGACGGGGGGCGAAAAACAAACACATACACATTCCCACAAAAAAAAATACAAAATCGAAGGACAACGTACACCACCAGTACCAGGTACTACAGCAGTGCAGTATGCACCAGCGCATTAGTGTAGGGTAGGCACCGCACCAAAGAGGCAGCAGAGGTGGCAGGCAGCCAGCAAAGGAAAAAACAAAAATAACAAGGAGCTCGAGGTATCGTCCAAGATCATCGTAGAGAGGGCATGGAGAACAAGAAAGAAAGAAAGAAGAAAAGCACAAAGAGAGGCCGGAGGCAATACTAAGAGCACAGTCTAGACTACAGCTAACGGCAGGGAAAAGGGAACACAGGGTGCGACAACATCATCAGTTGGGTACGTCGTTCGCCGCAAGCGCGGCCTTGGCCGCCCTACTCGCTTCTACAGCAGTGTCCGGTCGCCGTTTCTATGTGACCCCGGTTGGGTCGTCTAGCTAGTAGAAGTTGAGGATAGGGGCCAGAGGGGCAGACGACAGAGTCCAATGATGGGAGAAAAACAAAACAAAAAAAAAACATAGCGGTGACGACTTCCATGATCCCCGCTCTCGCAGCGTCAACGAGCCCCTCCGAAGATGCGATGGCAGCGTCCGCGGCGGCAGTGGTGGTGGCAGCGTCTTTCGTGGGGTCGATGGTTTCTTGCGGTTTGCTCAGCGACGGGCTTGCGCCGTGTGGTCGCCCCGGGCGACAGGTCACAGCTGGAGCAAATCATAGATGTCGTCCTCGATCCCCACAATCGTTGCTAACATGAGCACAAGACTCGCGTGAATAAATTTATGTAGTTATATTAGTAAGGGAAGGAATGTTCGATTGTGGGATATGCTCTGAGTCTTGTTGTTCGGCCAGGAGCTGATCGGGCTGCTGGTTTGCAATTATATTCTTGAAAGTATGGTAAGAGGCCAGTTGAAGGGAAACATGAGATGTTGCACTGAAATCGTTCTGGTATTTATTTCTTCGTGCTTTCGAAAGGTAGGTGTTGGCGGGCGCTGTAACATCAGCGGTTTTTGCTAGGTGCTACCCACTAGTACCGTCCAGCAGGAGAGCAGTGCTGTCCCGAGCAAATCAGAGCGGTTCGGGCCAAACCAAATGCATGGAGGCCTGCCCTTGTTGTGATATGGTGGTGTGTTCGCGCCATCGCATGTCTCCGTTTTTCCTGTAACGCCTCTGCGCTGGCGTGATTTGTTGCGTGGTGGCGATGGGCTCTGTTCTCTTTCTGAAGGGATTCTGCAAAATTCGGTTTGCCGCTTCGGGCCCCAGCATGTTTCCTGGTGGGATAACTGTTGGGTTTCGATGCCAGGGGGAAACGTTCTGTTTATTGGGAAAAGAACGCCCCCTATGTAACGGTCGAACCCCGAGCACGTTTGGATGTATCCATCGTGCATCTAGGAGAGGGGATTTTCCGAAGAAATGCAGGAGATGCTGGAGATCGAAGGCAACCGTAAGTGGCATACCTGCAACGGCCCAGCTACGGGCTCAAGGGAAACCAATCGGGTTTTCGGCGAAACGATATCGCCAACCCTTCGTGCTTCTAACGGGGAAAATGTTGGTGAGCATAACAATCTCCTCCATATCTGCCACACCGAACGCTGATGAGTTGCTTGCCGCTTTCAATCAGGAAGCAGACAACCTACATACTATCCGACACCAGGGTCGGGACCTTAGTCGAAGTATTCCAAGAAAGAAAATTTCAAAGAAGGTACATGCAGTACTCACTGAAATATTCTCGATACCATGACAGCCAAGGGATCCAACGCAGGGATATCGAAGGGAGGAATACGGTGGGTGTGGGATTCCTTCAAACACATTCCAACCGAATCCGGCCGCAATTCCAAGAAAACTCTGACCAATGGTCAAGGGGATCTAAAGGGGCATCCGGCCCTACAATGACTGCCTGTTCAGGTA